AGGCAATTCCCATCAGCAGACCTCAGGCCAGATGCCGAGTACACCACCCCATGATCAAAGAATCCAAAATTTTTGCGCTTGCACCAGCCTCTCAGCCATGCATTTATAAGATGGCTTTTCCTGGTCGTCTCAGCGTTCATCCCTGCCACCAAGGGAATACTGGCAAACACTACTTGTATGCCCGCTCCATCAACTAACTTCCCCAGTCTCCTAAAATCATTTTTTATAATCCTCAGGCTTCTAACAGGGATCTCATCACTGCCGGCCTGAACTATCAATAGAGGGTAATAATCAGAGGGGTGGATAAGGCTGGGGAGTTTTCTAGAAATATCCCTGACCCGGGCTGCAGGAAGGCAGCACACCTCCCTTCGGGTAGGGTCAGGCCGACATATTGGACCCTCTGTTCCTCTCAGAAGAGAGTCACCTACAACTACCACTCTCCTTTCTTTCTTGGAGGAGGCAGTCTTTAAACGCGGAGCTGACCGCCTCACCTTAGGCAAGCTTGGCGGCAGTGCTCCCACATTATCATCAGTCACCACTCCCTCTGGTTTCAGGGTTTCATACCTATTACAGAGAGGGATCAGGGGAACTGATATTTAAAAAGATATTTAAAACAAATAGAGAAAATCAAAATAATTCAACAAATGCATAGCTATGACAAAAAAAGTGCATAAGGATGTGAAATTATAATTTTTGAAGCATCCAGAATCTTCTTTCATTACTGTGATTGATAGATAACTTCTTTGATGTAGCAACCAAATATGTTTTTGTCCCTGAGGATTATGGCTCAGCAGCTTTCCAAATTAATACTCTTTTTGTTTGTTTTTCTTTAATATTTCGTATTCTAATAATCATTTCTGAATTAAACAATATTGGGTTTGAGCTTGGCTTTTAAGCACAAAAACATGTGAAGAACCAATTTTACAAAGAAAAATATTTTGCACAACTTCATTACCAAAACATGAAAATGCACAATGTATCTTGCTAAAAAGATAAACTCAGCTGCAGTCAAAAGCAGACAGCTACAATAAGTTATAATATAATTAGGTAAATGTCCTTCTATTTTTAATTGCAGTTTTTTAAGATTGCTCTGCTCATGTTTTGTTTACATATTAAACCAATCAAATAAAAAATAGATGACTGATTTTCCAAGTTATGAAGAATTACTTCAGGAACGTCAGGAAATTAAATCAGTGACAGATCTGCATGAGGATTTCTAACTAATGCATCAGTAGTACATGGTACTAACGTTTTTTAATCTGGATAAGCCAAAAGACCCTAAGTTTTATAAGATCTAAAACAGTTAACATAAAAGAGAGTTTCTTCTGGTACCTGAGAAAGTATTAGTCGTGTCACATGATCTGTGTTTCTGTATAAAAACTGCAAACTCAAGTCTGAGGGTGGCTTCATCTTGTCTGGCAGTTACCACATTTTTTTTTATTCCTATAAGTATTTGTAAAGTTCTAACATTGCTTTTTTAACTTTCAAGCCTGTGCTGAAAACCCTTTAATATAAATGGTATATGCGTCTCTTATTGAGTTGAATCAGAAGCAATTTCTGAATGACAAAATTTACTTATAAATTCTCCATTGAACACAGATGACAGAGAAACAAAGTCATCAGCTGCCACAGCGTGCTGTGAGGCTCCAGACTGATCACATGACTTGGCTACATCACTTCCAAGTCTATTGCTTTGGCTGAGCTACTTCTCTGAGTTCTGAATCTTCCTATTTTATATTCATCTTAAATTCCACCCCTCCCCTCAAAATAAGTGCTCAGTTTTTCTGTATCTGCAGAAGCAATGTTCATGCCATCACCTATGTGACTGTTTGTTTGTCCTTTTAGACAAGATCATGAGTTTTTACAAAAAGAGAGGAAAGAAAACAGGTGGGATCCACCCCATACTAGCTCCAGGGATGGAAGTGTGCTGCCCCAGCCCGGATCCAGCAACCTCTGTTCCATGCTGTGTTTGCCACTAGGCTTAAGAGTCATCAGAACTGTACCTGTGTGTACGTTTAACCATCTTCTACTTTTTTCTCCTACGGCAACCTGTTCCTCAGTTCAATACAATCCTTTTGGAAATTTGTTTCCTTTTGTTTTAAACTGCCTTTCTTCATTGCTGCGCTTTTCCCTTTTGTCACATTAATGATCAGGCCCAGCCAACTTGCATTTTCTCTGCCCAGAAAACTTTCATAACCATCCTGTCACCTTGTGTGCTCTTTTCTGTGGTTCACTGTACCACATTATGCCAATCATAGTGTATAGATGAAGCAGCTAGAAATATGCTCTGATTTTCTTTTCTTATCTCATCATTCCTAATACTTAGTTTCCCATTTACAGTTAATGAGTACAGTGTTTTCAAGTAACTATCCACAATTACATCCATCCCTCCTGAGTGCTAACACTTCAGGCAAATTTATGTATGTATAAGTACAGTTGTTTTTTCCTATATTTCACTTAGCAACCTGGAACCTGACACATTATTTTATCAGCAGGTCACTCAAGACCTTTAGGGTCTGGAAATTTTTTGTCTACAGTTTTAGTTTTCCTGTTGAGTACCCCAATAACATCAGCAAATGCTGCTCTCCCATTATGCATCCTATTCACCCAGCTACTCATGAATTTCCAGGTCATAATAGACTCCACGTTGCTGGGCAATTCAGCAGCTAAACTCCTGTTGCTATGAAAATTGACCATTGTTCTTTGCCAGTGCTTTCTGTTTCTTACCTGATTGCTAATAATTTACCTGAGAAATATGCCATTTCTTTTAAGAGTGCTTCAACAAAGCTGAGAGCTTTTTGGAAAACTATTTGTAAGCATGCCTTTCAGGCTGTTGCACAACGTTCAGAAATGAACCAGAGGGCTGTGCTGAGCTCCCAGAGGGTTGCTGTGGAGAGCTGCTGGGATATGAGGTGTTACCCCAGAAAATCCCTGACAGCACCTGCTTGAGGACCTTTCTCCACTCATTGCTCCTGGGAGGCTCCTCCAGCCTGCACTGCACTATCCTGCTGTCTGCCTCCCTGCCTTCCAGAGGGGAGAGCAGGGGTATAATGTCCCCTGTGCTTACTGCTGGGATCATACTATTCAAAGGGTTTTGTTGGCAGAAGAAGGGCTTGGGATGCCAAACATCAGCATTCTCAGAAGTAATATCTGGTCTGCACCACATATACAGTACTTCCCAAGCACAGTGCTCTGCAGTGAAGGGCAGTTTCCTTGTCCTGTTGTGGGCCCTGGCTACTCATACACCCTCACAAGTTTGTGGCAGGACCAACTGAGGAGCCACACCAAATCCACTGCAGACAGCAAGGCTCGGCTTGGCACCTCCAGCCACTGTTGCCAGAAGAATCTTGTGGCAGATTCCTGACTCTGACCAGCAAGGCTCCTCTCTCAAAGTATAAAAAGGTACTAAAGGAAATACAGAGGAAAGGCAAAGAATAATAACAGATCTGAGAGCAAGACAAAGAGGTGCCTACCAAAACATCTCTGCCAGAACTGGGCTTTGCAGCATGTGGAAAGTGACTTCCAGGGTATCTGCAGAGCATTCTGGGGTCATTTGGCTGGACAAGACTTTCCCATGGTACAAGAAAGCCCCAGCCCGTAGGCTTGGAGTCCCCTTTGCTGTAAGAAGTGGCGTGTGCATCTAAGCAGTGTGGAGGGAACTTTCATTCCACAGAACTGAACAGACCTCAAACAGTATGCGAGATGGAAAGACGAAATCAGGCCAGCACCACTCTCACTGCAGCGCAGTGCTGCCCATAACTTGGTAGGGCCTCAAATACTGGACCCAGAGGCTTCAAAGCAATTTTATGAGTCTTCTGTAGTCTGTAGAGTCTACAGTCATCTGTAGTTCTTATTTCCTAAGCTCCTATCCAGAAATGTTTTTTTAATCATCTCCCATAGATTAAAAAAAGTAACAGAAAACCACCTTGTATTCTGTTCATCAGCTTTGTGTAAAATAAATGTCTAGCTTTTAAGACCCCATTTCTGCTTTCTTCTAGGACTTTAACCAGAGAAGTGGTGCAGGCAACTTGACAGCTGAAACCGTGGCATGAGTATCAGTGCAATGATGCTGAGCTGAGAACATCACTGCTGTGAGGCACTGGGCACCCTTGAGGCCTGCCTGCACTCAGCAGTGCAGCTGTGCTGTTCCTGTGCACCGGATGCACTCTTGACAGAAAGATTTTGCTTTCTGACTTTGCAGTTACTGCTTTGCAGTACCCACAGGTACTTTACAAATTGGAGTAAATTAAGACATTCTAGGACACCAGTTTCAACTTCTTTTGAGAAGTATAGCTTCCAGCACTCAAGCAACCTGCATGCCTATCGCTATCCTTGAGATACTTTTATTCAATCAATACTTCTGTCAAGATGTACCTTGCGAAGGGCCTATTGTAATTGGCAGTTCAGTGTAAAACCTCCACAATTTTTGCTTGGAATTTCTAAATGTGCCTTTCACCTGGTGCCATCCCTCTCTGCCGACTGCTGATTATCAGACACAATAAAATCGAGGGCAGCTGCAGGAAAGGTGAGCCTCACTCGAACATGCTAATAATTCGAGATGAGTAAGAGCTACCTAGAATTTCCTCCCCCTCTTCTCTCCAACAGCACTTAGATGGTCCGCAAAAATACTCCGCAGTGGGCTCTGATGCCCCGCTCTTCTCTCTCTCGGTGCTCACTGCTATTGTTCCACGCCCAGCCTGTCTACATCGACAGACTGACAGCGGGACAGGCAGAACAGGAGGGAGGCGGGAGGAGGCGGGCAGACTTCGGGGTTGAGGAGGGGGCCGGCCGGTCGGGGCGGCTCCGGGCCGGCGGGAAGCGCTGGCGGGGAACGGCTGCTGCCATCTCAGACCCGCCCGACCTGGCCTGGCCCGGCCCGGCCCTGCCCCAGCACAGCCCGCGAGCTCGGGAGCTGCTGCCACTGAGCTTCGGGGGCGGGAGGCAGGTACTGTTCCTCGCGGCGCGGCCCTCTATCCGGCGTCGGTGCGGCAGTGGGTGAGTGCTGTGAATCCCCTGTCCGGCCGCCAGGGAGCTCTTGTTCGGAGCTGGAAAGTTGCAGAAGGCGGCGAGCCCAGGATGCGGCGCGGAGCGGCGGAGCGGTGAGTGGGGCGCAGAGCGCCGGGGTTAGGTGACGCCGGCCTTCTGCGAGCATTCTGGAGCTGTCGGGGTTGTGCTCGGACGGCTCCAACGAGCGCTTTGTCACATACCTCTCCTCCCCTCCCCCCACCCCGCCCCCCGAAGTTCGAGTTGCTGAGAAATTAGAGTTTGCGAACTGAGTGCTGATTTTTTGGGGGTGGGAGGAATAAGTTGAGAGCAGCAGGGGCCGGCAGGGGGGAATAAGTGAATATTCCTTCTTTTAGCGTGCTTACATGCAGGAACAAAACTGGACGGGACTGCGAGGTGCCCGTGTGCTGTTCGGGGTTACAGAATGCAAACGGATGTCTGACTTTCAAAGCCAAAAAGTAACCATTGCTAACGGCCGTAAACTACCAGAACATTCACTTCAAAAACAATTATTTTAAAATTTATTTGAGTTGTCCAATACATTGTTTTGCAGCAGATGTTTGTTGTCTGGATTCTGTTTACATTGAGCATGGCTGTTCTTAAAGGCCTTTTTTTAAATTTGACACTGCCAGGGTTACCAGAGAAATTGCACACATTTACTTTCAATCTATAAAGGCTTTAAAATATACAATGGTTTGGCTGTGAATATACGTTCTTGTCTTTCCCTTTGCTTTTCTTAAAATTGTAATTTGTGGCCAAAGCATATGGCAATGTGTGGAAGAGAAGGAAGAACAGGAATGTGCGTGGTGGTGGTGAGGGGGGCTCCAGTCCGCTTGGGCATGTATTTTCATGGATGATTGGAAGGTAGGAAAATACAGAATCCAGATGACTTGCAGTGAGTGTCCGAAACTTAACTGGATTTTATGCTGTTGTGAAAGGGAAATGTAAGGAGCAGTAAATTAAGTCTTGTTTTCACTTGTGTTTTGTAAGACTGACATGGGCTACCATGAAAATTGTTTGGCTCAGTGTTTTGAAAATACGTCTTATTTTTTCTGCTGTAAAATGCACAGTGACTCATGAGATGGTGGCTGCCTTTTACTCCCTGTGGGTCTCTGAGCAGAATGCCTGATGAGAACAGAGGTATGCTGCAGATAGTTGCAGAAGGGTGTTGGGAGCCTGCATTATCACAGAATCACAGAATGGCCCGGGTTGGAAGGGACCTCAAGGATCGTGAATCTCCAACCTCCCTGCCACATGCAGGGCTACCAACCTCCCCGTTTAATGCTAGGCCAGGCTGCCCAGGGTCCCCTTTTCCCCTTGTCCTGATATCTGAGGGCTAGCTGGTATCTACCCTTTCAAAGAGTTGATTCCCCTCCTGTTTGTAGGCTCCCTTTAGGTACTGAAAGGCTGCAATGAGGTCACCCCGCAGCCTTCTTTTCTCCAGGCTGAACAAGCCCAGTGCCATCAGCCTGTCTTTGTAGGGGAGGTGCTCCAGTCCCCTGATCATCTTCGTGACTCTCCTCTGGACCCTCTCCAATAGCTCTCTGTCTTTCTTGTACTGGGGGCTCCAGACCTGGACACTCCAGTTACTACTGCAGGTGGGGCCTCATAAGGGCAGAGTAGAGGGGGACAGTACCTCCCTGTCTCTGCTGACCACCCCTCTTCTGATGGAGGCCAGGATACCATTTGCTTTCCGAGCTGCTGGCACACTGCTGGCTCACGTTAAACTTTTCATCTATCAAGACCCTCAGGTCCTTCTTCACAGGGCTGCTCTCAAGAACTGCTTCTTCTGGTCTGTATGGATGCCTGGGTTTCCTCTGGCCCAAGTGCAAAACCTTGCACTTTGCCATGTTGAACCTCATTAGGTTCACCCGGGCCCACCTTTCAGCCCTCTGAATGGCATCCCTTCCTTCAACCGTGTCAACCGCACCACTCAGCTTGGTGTCATCAGCAAACTTGCTGAGCGTGCACTCGATTCCGTCATCGATGTCATTGATAAAGATGTTAAAGAGCACCCATCCGAAGAGAGACCCCTGTCTCGTCATCAGCTCCCTGCTGCCTTCAGGTACTGGGAGTTCCACAGTCCCAGAGGAAAATTGCAGGTTGTCCCCAGCAGCCTTACCCAGGCTTACCTGTGGAGAGCCCGGCTTGCCCACCTGCTACTGGTATGTCTAGGGACGGTGGTAGAGATGTACCAGGGGGCAGAACTGAGTGTTACCGACTTCCATGCGGAATTGACCTTTCCATGTGGGTGGCAGTATCAGCAGACTCTGGGAACATCAGCTGTGGCGGTGAGCTCTACTGCAACTTGGAAGGATGCATGAGGATCTTGGACCTCTACAGGAGACCACACTAACAGCTACTGAAATCATAAAATGTAGCGGTGGGCAAGAAGGTTTGCCAGCATGGGCAGATCGCGATGTTCACAGCCACACTGCTCACCCAGCTGCTTGTTCCATCCTCGGAATAGGCAGGAAAGGAGGCAGCTGAATTGTGCTCCACTTGGCTGTGGTTCTTGGCGTCGTTCCTTTGTTTGAACACGCATCCACAAGGAGTCATAGTCAGGTTGCCCTTGCTCTGCCTATAGCTTTATGCTTCTTGTGGTGCCTGGTGGTGCAGCAACAGAGATTCTCCTCTTTCCTTTAGAGAGAATGAAATGGATTTCTCGCTGTATCTCAGGGTATTGAGGTACTTAACCACACCAGTGCTGAATGTGAAACGCACACCAACATATTCTTCAGGTTCTTTTTTCACTGTTTAAAGGTAAGGTCCATACTTTGCAGCTAGTGACTAGTCCTCTGCATCTGGCTGGCACAGAGGCATTTGGAAGACTAGTTTGTAGAGCTGTCAGGAAGCAGTGGTATGGGTATTCTAAATCTGACTGCTGCTATCTCATTGTTATAGTACACAACCAATTGTATAATTTCTGAGTTACTGACTACAAAGAAGGAGAAGAATGAAAACAATCTTTAAAAAATGGCATGGCTGAATGCTGCTGCCAGAAAGGAGTAATTTTTAATTTATTGTATTTCAGGTGACTTTTCAGGTGTATTTCAGGTACTTTCAGGTGACTAGTGAGTGAGATTCATTCCCATAGAGTCCTGGTGAATACTGTTACATTCTCCACTGCCATGACACTGGGCTGTCAGAGGCAGATTTACCAGTGATACTGAATTTGCTGTAATAATTTTAAGAGAAGAAGTAATTATAAACAATGGAAGAGACCCAGTGTAATTTCTGCTGATTGAGTGCATCACCCATGCTTTCTGCCAGGGAAACTGGTATAGCCCATTGCCTTCAATGGAGTCAGAAAGAAATGCATTTGCTCTGTGATAGAAGAGTATCATATCTCTGCTTGGAAAAGTCTTATAGAAACATGCATTTTGTTGCATGTGGTGTTGTAACAACACTAAGTACAATTCTCTCAAGTAGTCTGATGCTAGTTAAGCTGTCATTAATGAATACTTTTCTAATCAAATATAATTGCTTATTGTACAGTGACAAGCACTTGCAATTCATATGAACAGTGGCATTTTGTTGTAACTCAATACAATGAAAGATTGTGATAGTCTGTGATAACAGTGTACAGATTTTAACTGAATTACAATTAGATTGAACCTTGGCTGAGGTGAAGCTCAGAGCTTTGCTGTTCATGCTTCAGAAAGACGGTGAACAACTTGAGGGCCCAGTTCAGATCAGGAGAAATGAATGAGGGGATTGCCATCTTCAGAGAGAAAAAGACTTACAGCTCCAAGAGATAACTGTGCTTCTTGCATAACCTCTCCTTGTGGTTCTCTCCACCAAAGAATTTTGGACATAGAGACTAGAATGGGTGAATAATAATAGAAAATCACTCTCTCAAACAATCATTTTGATATGTCCTGAATGTGATAATGAAATTATGTCATGTCACCACAAGCTTTTGTTAGGTTCATTCTTTTCTGAAGGAGAGAATCCAGGAAAAGGGAGGGTGGGAAAAATGGATTGGGTCATCCTTTACTCCGTTTACATTCAACTGGGACTTGCTTTGCTCCTCCAGTCTTCTACAAGGCACTTGAAATTCCACTCCCACTTCTGAAGTGTCCAAAACGATGTGCTGGAATAGTGGTAACTCAGGAGCTTTTGTGATCTTCAGAAACCTGTGTGCTTTCCAATGAAAGTACATACACTCCTGCGTTAAGCCTAAGCCTACTGACAGTAAGCCTGCATACCTCAGTTATGTAGAATAATTAAGAGAGTCCATGCACTGTATAGGTCAGAGGTTGAAAACTGCTGGTGTACTAGTCGAGGCTGAAATCTCTAATTCATCTCTTGATGTCTTCTTTTGAAAGTGTTTTTGACATATTTGGGAAATGCTCATGGCCATTTTGTAAATAGTATATATATATGAGTTCTAGCTCTTATAAATTCCTAAAATTAAGTTACACTAGGGGGAGGGCAGACCAATAGAAAGTGACCTCCGTGTAGCAGAAATTTTATTTTCCTATTTTTCCTGAATTAAAAAAAAACACACAAATTTGCTTCAGATGGAATCAGTTCTGTTATTGTCTTCATCCTTGTTTGGTAGCTGAACTGAAAAAGTGGCTATCTATTCAGCCTTACTGCATGCATTTGAGGCATGAGCACTGATTCTCATTGAAGTATGCAGTGCCTGTCACATTTTGGTAGAGTATTAAGCGCTTCTGTCACCACCTGATATTTTTATAAAGCTGTATAGATCTCTTCCAATACTTATGCATGGAAGTGCAAAAAAAGAGGTAAGAGAATCAATCTGCTGTGAAAATGCATCATTTCAAAGTCCATGGGAAAATGCTACAATTAATCAAAGTTTCCATTTGAAGAACAGAAGTAAATTGAAAAGAACAATGACTGGTCATTTTAGTATTTAAAAAAGAAAAATCTTAAATCAGTGTCTTTTATACATACTCTATTTTATATCTAGATCTGTGTCCAGGTGGAGACCAGTAATGAGTGGTGTCCTCCAGTGGTCAATCTCGGATCTAGTCCTTTTCAGCACAGTGGGATCGAGTGCTCTGTTTGATGATGACACAAGCTGAGTAGTACAGTTGACATAGCAGACGGAAGGAATGCCATCCATAAGGACCTATACAGGCTCTAAAAGTGGGCACAGATAAACCTATTGAGGTTCAACAAGGACAAGTGCAGAGAGACTCAGGACAATCTCAGATATGAGTACAGACTGGGAGAAGAATTCATTGATAACAGCCCTGCAGAGAAGGTCTTGGAAATCCTTGTGGATGAAAATCTGTACCTGAGCCAGCAGTGTGTGCTTGCAGCTGGGGCTGTATTCTGGGCTGCATCAGAGGAGGGGTGGCCAGCAGGGTGAGGGACGTGATTGTCCCCCTCTACTCTGCCTTTGTGAGGCCTCATCCGGAGTTCTGCATCCAGGTCTGGGATCCTGAGTACAGGAGAGATGGGGAGCTATTGGAGAAGGTCCAGAGGAGGGCCACGAGGATGGTCAAAGGGTAGCTCTCCTACGAGAAAAGATTGAGGGAACTGGGCTTGTTTAAGTTGGAGAAGAGTAGGCTCCAAAGGAGACCCCATTGTTGCCTTCCAGTACTTGAAGGGAGTTTATTAGCAGGAGGGGAACCTACTTTTTACATAATCTAATAGTGAAACAACAAGGAAGAATGGCTTTAAACTAAAATGGGAGATTTAGGTTAGACATTAGGCAGAAGTTTTTTACTCATCACCCTTTGAGGCACTAGCACAGAAAAAACTTCTGGATGCCCCTTCCCCAGAGGTGTTCAAGGCCAGTGGGATGGGGCCACGAGCAGCCAGATCTGGTAGGTAGCAGTCCTACCCAGGGCTGAAGGCTTGATCTTTAAAAGATCACTTCCAACCAAAACTATTCTCTGATTCTGTTTGGTGCATATGCATGTGTTGCATACACAGTATACAAAAAAAATAATAGAAAGATGTGATTGGCTATGTTTGTTTAAAAAATGATAGTCGTAGGTCAACTAATTTGAATTTGAAGTAGGATTAGCTTTATCATGAATGGCTTTCAGAGTGTCTCCTTAATTGCAAGTAGCATAGTTTTGGTGTTGTTAAGTGTGGAAAGCTATTTTACGCATTGGCAGTGTGCACAATGGACAAAGTTTGATGCTTTCTTGTGTTCTCTGCTGCCTTAAATCTCTGTGGAAAACTAAAAAGCAGTAATTTTGCCTTGCTACTGCTCAGGCAGTGAAGATGGGGTGGTGCTTTGGCAGTGCCACATACACTCCAGCCTTTCTGAAATTGCACCAGTTACTGTGCACACAGGCTTGCTGGGAGCTTCTCTCTACTCCTGCTTTTTTTTTTTTTTTTTTTTTTTTTTTTTGGACTTGGAACTTTTGCAGGTGAAAACACTTACCAACAGTTCTTTACATTGAAATCATATTTCCATAGCAGAATTGAACCCATAAGGAGCAAGACCTATGGCTTCCTTACCACCAGCTTAATAAATCTGTGACCTCAGAACTCAGCCGTAGCCAACATCCCTTTTGGATCCAGGGCCTGTATTACAGCTTGAGCAGTCACACAGTCTATATGGGTGATGTGTGATGACAGCGAGACTTACTTTGCATTTGTTCTTATTTTCAGAACCTGGTTTCTTAGCTGCTTTCCCAAATTAACATGAGAGACTCACTGGATCTGGGAATATCCACTGCCTACCCAGAGGAGCACTTGGAGGATTGTGGCTTGATCTCCCTCTTGTGGAACGTTACTGGAACTAAATTCTCGTGACATTAAAGAAGAAACATCCAACAGCAGCTAATAAACTATGTCAGCAGTTACTGTGATACCTGCTGCTGTTGTTGGTACTGAAGGAAATGAGGAGATGGACTCTCTGATTGTACTGCATTATAATTACACAGGAAAGCTTATTCTGAGGGAAAAGGCAACTGATAACATAGACCTTACCACTGTTGCATTTCTGATCCTATGTAGTTTCATAGTCCTGGAAAATCTGATGGTGTTGATTGCCATTTGGAAAAACAATAAATTTCACAACCGCATGTACTTTTTCATTGGCAATCTAGCTCTCTGTGATCTTTTAGCTGGAATTGTTTACAAAGTAAACATTCTTATGTCTGGGAAGAAAACTCTGAGCTTGTCCTCCACAATTTGGTTTATTAGGGAAGGCAGTATGTTTGTTGCGTTAGGAGCCTCCACCTTCAGCTTATTAGCAATAGCTATTGAACGACACTTGACAATGATTAAGATGAGGCCTTATGATGCAAATAAAAAATACAGAGTGTTCCTTCTCATTGGAACCTGCTGGCTTATTTCAATCTCCTTGGGTGCCTTGCCCATCCTTGGCTGGAACTGTATAAACAACTTGCCAGATTGCTCAACAATTTTGCCTCTTTACTCCAAGAAGTATGTTGTATTCTGCATTAGTATCTTCATAGCCATTCTGGTAGCCATTGTTATCCTTTATGCACGCATCTACATCCTGGTAAAGTCCAGCAGCCGTAATGTCACTAACCATAATAACTCAGAGCGGTCCATGGCACTCCTCAGGACTGTTGTGATTGTTGTTAGTGTCTTCATTGCCTGTTGGTCACCTCTGTTCATTCTGTTCCTTATTGATGTGGCCTGCCAAGTCAGGGAATGCTCTGTCCTATTCAAAGCCAACTGGTTTATAGCTTTGGCTGTCATCAATTCTGCAATGAATCCTATCATCTATACTTTGGCTAGTAAGGAAATGCGTCGAGCTTTCTTTCGCCTTGTTTGTGGCTGCCTGGTGAGATCCAGGGCAGCCAGATCTTTGCCTATCCAGCCCACACCAGATCACAGCCGAAGTAAGTCCAGCAGCAGCAACACCCAGAAGCCAAAGGATGATTTCCCACAGATTAGCATTCCATCACGTGTCATTGGGAAACATGAATCTTCATTTTACAATGGAAGCTTCTGTAAGTAAAATATTCCTCAAGACAAGGACCTTTCTAAACTACAAGTGTAGTTTAACTATTCGTGCACTTAAATTTTAGGGGGAAACACTAAACAATTATTTAACTTTAAGGACTTCATCATCAACAGTCATTTGCTTTGCGTATCTTTCAGTAAGGCATCCAGAAAAAACTTTTCATGCTACTCAACAGCCAGTTCAGAGACCATGCACATCTATTGACATTGTGACCGTGATGGCATTACGTTGTGAAGCTGTACTGGACACCACTTGATCCTTCAGGACATCAGTAAAATCTGTTACATTCACTGAATGTTCACAAAATAAGTAAAACTTCAGCATTCACTAAACGCTGCTGATAATTAAAAAATGAGCCTGATTTTGTCTGACTCAGAGAAAAGCTCATTCCATATACTGGGGATTATAATTTTATGTATCTTGCTGTTATGTTAATGGCTTTATTGTATCTGTTATAAATAGCTGTATATTTGTACAATACCTTATTAAAAAGTCATTGACGGGTTAGAGTTAACTGTATTTTAAACATTATATTGTAGTATAGAGTATAAGGTGACGAATTATGGTAATAGGCAGATGTGTTCTGAGGGGGATTTTTAAAATACATGAAGTAGTAGCTTTAAACTGACAAACTTTGATGCCATATCAATGCAGTATTTTTGTTTCTACTGCTGCTCAAACTTTTCATGTTTAGTGAAGGACAACATGACAGTTGTCACCGACATTTCACGATTTATTTTAAGCATGCAGTAGTAAATAACTATTGTGAGAGGTTATGTATGTTTGCTATTTAAAGCAGTTAAAATGTGACCCAACCATACATAAATCAAGGGTGTGTATTATTTCAACGCATATATTTTTACTTACTATTTTAAGTGTATTTAAACATGCATGTAAAACCCATGTAAACCTGTGTACGTTGTGAATGCACTACCTAAATTGAGATTCTTAAGTTTCTGAAGCAGGGATGTATCATTTCAGAGAGCAGTGAACCACAACCAGTGAACCACATTATGCTTCTATCATCTCTGAGCACTTTTGTAGATACAGGAGGGAAGATGTGGTACAACAGAATCATGCTGAACAGCATCTCTCAATTTATACCAGGCCCTGCGTTGGATCTGGAATGAGAGCCCACTCAGTTTGAAAGATCTTCTAACTTTTCAGGAGCCTCAGAATCATCCTTTTGAGGGGCAGGTCCAGAAAACCTCTATGAAAACAGCTTTGTAATTTATCACTGCCTTACCAGCCTCAGTATAGGATGCTGTTTGGCATCACTAAAACCTAAGACCTAGAGTAGATAGGACTTCAGAAGCATCTGAGTTTATATTCCCATGGAAGTGGCCTGTGGTACTTCCATCCAGTTACTTTACAGCTAGAGGCTTTGGTGTAGGCTTTCCCTTCAGTGGAAGGGAAATACTCAGATACTTCTCAATGAAAACATCTAACTTTCTTGGACTCTTTTGAAGATTCCTGTTTAATGCCTCAAACCACACTTCACCTTAAGCACTATCAGAAGAGGTTGAAGCTTTTTTAATTAATAACTTGTAGCAGCTCATCCTTAGCTTGAGTCTGATCTTAGTCATTATCAACAGCATTAAGACAAGCATGTACAATGCAGAAGTGATGTAATGCCTTTAAAATGTAGAGGTTTACATTGTGATTATCTTTACAAGTTAGAAGGGTACTTGTAAATGTTTTCTTCCTTTTAATGAAGTGTACGAACAAAGAACATAGACTGCATTTGAACGAACTGTGAAAGAGAGTAGTAAGTATGAATAACTTCTACCAAAAATGGTATAACACAAGGCATATAGAGAGAAAGAACCAGATAAACAAAGCTTACCATGAACAGGAGCATACACTGCAGATAAGGACAAGGTCAGCAACTCTGTAGGTTTTTTTACAAATAAAACTGACAACATTGTATTGTTGTGGCTTAAGTTCTTACATGCTACAGTGCTATTTGTGTGTATTTTCGGTCTTGAAGATCTGCCTTGAAGTTGCCTGTTTGGAAACTGCCTGCTAAAATGCTAATGTGCTCTTAAGTGCTAGCTAATGAAGTGGTGGCATGTGGCAGCATTTCTTGCTTTTTGTAAATGAGAAAGGCTGAGAAGACAGGACAGCTGGTGAAGAAATCATGGTGGCTGTTCCACATCAACCCTCACACTGTGTTATGATGTTATGTGATATTCCATATTTAAGTGAAAAATAAAAATTTCAGTAGCCAAAATCTAGAAACATGCCTGTAAGTACGAGTTGTGACATCTGGGTGCTAGCCTTAGCTGCTGTTAGTTGATGCATGGTACAAGCAATACAAGAAACCGATGGAAGACATGATTATGTGTCAATATTAATTAAAAAAAAAAAAAAGAAAAAAAAAAAAAAAACAACTCTCACTCTACTTTCTCTCTTGTTTTGGGAGGTCTTTGTTTTTGTTTTTTAAGTTTTGGATTTTTTTTAGGGTAGGAAATTGGAAAGTGAGGAGTATTTCATTGCCCAGCATACTTGAAGCGGGTTCTTAGTACTCATGCTTTTTCATGGAACACTGGTAATAAAATCTACATAATACTGATAAAAATAAGATTCCTGGTCCTTCTTCAGTGGGTACAAGATATATTAGGTTAAACGCAAATTTGGGAAGATTTCATAGCAAAATTTTGGAGTAGGATAAATCAAGGGCTTAAAAGTTATGGATCCTAAACAACTAGGACGTAGCTCTACCCCCCTAAAATTTTATAAAGTTCCTTAAAATGCTGTAGTATCCAAACTTTTTAATATCTTGGATGATTTGAGTCTGCCAGAAATCTGAGTCAGTCTTAATTCATTATTGGTTTTACATGGAACAAAAACTGTAAAGCAAGTTCACATTTCATTCATATTTCAATTTCATGGGTTGGGATTTTCTTTTCCAGATTGCAAAAGAAATTGAAATACAACCATCTAAGGTGAAAAACAACAACAACAACAACAAAACAAAACAAAAAAAAAAACAAAAAAAAAACCAAAAAAAAACAGCCTTCATATTCAGCTTTCACAATTGCTGAGTCTTATTGAGTATGGGTACCATAAACATTTAGGAAACTTTTATTTGAATCTCAAAGCTTTGAGCAAAGTTGTTATGTAGCATTCATCTTTTCAGGAAATGTAGAATGATTCTGGCCTTCCTTAGAAAACACAGATGTAAATTCTGAATATCATGCCTGAAAGCACTATCTGTGAGAGCAGCAGCGAGCCCAAGGCTACTGTTCTGTCAGTCTGGAGCCAGCAGAAAACAGCCTCTTCTGGAAGCTCTCTGACCATATCTGCTTTGAGGGCCCACTGACTGGCTGCAACATCCATAGAAAAGGCTCATTTTGCACTAAGCAACTGTAGCATTGGGTGTAGCATTGCCTGAAGCATTTGTTTTTTTCCAACAGCTTTAGTGAGAAATGGAAAATAGACCTGGGTGTGAAATGTTAGGTGCCAAAAAACACCTCAGATCCTGAGGGCAGCCAATCCACCCCTCCTGAGCTGAGGTTTGCTACCACCAATCAGTGTCATTTAACCCGCCATTTGCAATATAGTCTGCAGCGCAGATCAGCCCTTGACTATGCTGGAGGCATAGTCCCTGGACTTGGGGACAGTGCTTTCTCATGGCAAAAACTCACTAGCAGCAAGGAAAGCAGCAGTGATTCAGGGGTTTCTGCTTGGGTGTCGCTGGGCCATGAGGCTTAATGCAGCCTTCAGCAGGCTGCAAGCATCGTGAAGAGATGTGCCAGCACCTATGTGGACTTCAGGGATGCAGTTCTCACCAAGAGCAATGGCATTCTTGGGCTAAACTTTTCTCCCATTGGTTTTGAGAGAAGGGTCTTTGCAAGGAACTTCTGGTGGTGTAGGAAGGGGAACTGGGGAGTGTCAGCCCAGCTAAATGTCCTTCAAACGTGAAGGCTTTCTTCTCAGCACACTAAACAGCTGCTCTTGTATGGACGTCATCCTTGCAGTCACTCTCCGTGGAGAAACTGTGGAACTGGTTTACTCTCACTCATACATCAAGCTACCTTTTCAGGCGAGCACATCGTCTGCTGCAAAGAGTATGGGCCTGTACTTGTATCAAGAAAATGTTGTTTGGCAAAAAAGAGAAGTAGAAATCAAAGTCATTTCTGTCAAAGTGAATAGAACTGCTCTAATGTAAAGTCAGCGTAGCTGACCAGTACTTTTACGTACTACCTTGTCCTCTGAAATGTTTGGTCTCTATTGCTAATTCATTAACTTAAAAATATTCAATATCCAATCCATAAGTAGGTAGGTAGGTAGGAACTAGGTAGGTACATGGATAGTAGATAGATAGATAGATAGATATAGATGGATTATTAGGGAACCTGGTCATAGGAGCACAAACTTAAGCCCAGTTTACATGCATTCAGTTTTGATAGCAGTGCTTGTTATTTTATTAATTTGGTTATCAAACACAAACTGAGTAATCAGAAAACAGCTGCATGACACTTACATGACACAAATTCTGTTGCTTAAGGACTTCCTCAGAGACAAGATTTGCCTCCATATCTAGAATATTACAATCAGCAGGCAGGCAAAAACTTGAGATTCACTGAAGTTTTTGGGAGTATAAGTGATCTGTTTTTCCACACACTTTATTTTTTCCTGCAGTTCTCAATTAAAAATATTTCTAAAAGTAATAAATATTAATAAATATAAAATGTATAGTCAGACTCTCTTTTACAGCAAAATAGCCACTTTTTTGTTTCATTATTGTCCACAAAATATGAAGAGAAACATTTACCTCAAAAGAAGAAACCCATCTTCCCTCAAGATTTAACTCTGCAGAACTTAGAAGTGTCAGTCTAGCCACAACACAGGATATGTATCTCCTACCAATCATAATCTTCACATACTTCAGTTAACGAAAAAATTCACTGTTTTAGAATGAGTATTTGGGTGTTTTGGGTAGTTTTTGTCTCACTGAAGAAAAAGGACGACAAGCTGTCATTTATTCTTTGTTATTCAACCTTCACAATAACTACTACAGGAACCTAAGTCTGCATCTTAATCTCAGAATTTGAGGCTACATTCCTTACAACGAATCTCCCACAAAATGGGTTAGTAGAATGAATGATCTAGTTTCATCTTCCTTTTTTCTTTTGTTTTCCACACCTGGTGCTGTTGTCAAACAATGTTTTAAACACCCTTTCCTTAGCTTTTCCCCTATACAGTACTTTGGCTAGAAACCTGCATCTCTTATTCTCCTTATTGAGATTCCAAAAAAAGTTTTTGAAAACTACTGCTCACTCTCTGTGGAAGCCATATATTATGCTCATATTGGAGAATGCAGAGGAACAGATCGGAAGTGTCTCAAAAAAAGATGAGCCTTAGGAATTGCACAAGTGTTTTGCAATTTCCCTTGCTGTGGTTCTGCTTTAACCCTATCAACCAATCAGCATGTTTATAATTTGGTGACACATCTTTAGTCTTCTTAGTGGCTTACATGCCTATTGGCTCATGTTGGCAAGCCTCATACTTCTAACCCCCAGGGTCTTCTCTCCCAGGGCAGCTTTTCACGTTTTGCCTCTCCCCAAGTCTCTGGTTAACTGCCGGCAAATCATTATGCCTGTGTATCCTCTACACAGCCTTGTGCATGTTACAGTTGCATCCAGCATGGATGTGAGCAAAGTTCAGACATTGAGTGTGTGTAAGAATTTGAGCAGTAATTAGCTCCATATCCTGACAGCTTTGAACCAGCATGGAGAGTGTATAGGTGCAAACAAAGTTTTGCACAAAAAAGACAGAGCAAACCAACATGTTTTTTCAGCAATTTAGGTAAATGTATATTTGGATTTCTTATGAGCATATTGAGAGACTGGTAGATCAAAAGGAAAGTGTAGCTATTACTTCAGCTCTTTTTTTTTTTTAAGGGAAATGTGGTTTACATAAAATTCTTCGTTTCACCACTTACTTCATACAGATATTGGGATTCTAAGAACAAAGGTTTGAAAGCTGATATGTAATACATTGTCAGAAAATGCACGGATTGCAATTGTTCTAGAGATGCAAATGTCTTAGAGGCTGCAAAACTTTGCTTTGAAGTGAAGCATTTACTACTTACAAATATCAAAATACGCATACATTCTATGATGAATACTGTAGCTGGCTCTTGATATACCAGTAACAGTTGCACTGTGATATAAATTTTATGAATTCTCCTCCTCTTATTGCACATCCTGATGCCTAGGGACCATGATAATAAGAAATGCGAGCATTTTGTAGTGGAAAGAAGAATGATAACAGAATATTAGAAATTCAGTGTTGCCAGGTAACAATAGGCAGTAAATGTACTGTAAATTGTACTGAAATCCTAGTCTAAGACATACCTCCTTTGTTCTTTTCTTTTTGTTGAACAAGTACGGCAGATAGATTTCTGATAGAACCCTGTAGGATTTGCAGTGGAGGAAGCTACTGTACAGAATCACAGAATCACAAGGTTGGAAACGACCTGCAAGATCATCTAGTCCAACCACCCTCCCATTCCTATTAGTACCACAAGCACTAAACCATATCTCGTAGCTCCTCATCCAGGCGCTTCTTGAACACCGCCAGGGATGGTGACTCCACCACCTCCCTGGGCAGCCATTCCAGTGCCTGACCACCCTTTGAGAGAAAAAGTTTCTCCTAATGTCCAACCTAAACCTCCTCTGGTATAACTTCTGGCTGTTTCCTCAGGTCCTACTATTTGCCTGGGAGAAGAGGCCAGACCCTTTTGCACCACAACCTCCCTTCAGGAAGTTGTACAGTGCAGTGAGGTCTCCCCTGAGCCTCCTCTTCTCCAGGCTGAACAATCCCAGCTCCCTCAGCCGCTTCTCATAAGACTTGTGCTCCAGACCCCTCACCAGTTTCGTTGCCCTTCTCTGGACACGTTCCAGGGCCTCAATGTCTTTTTTGTAGTGAGGGGCCCATAACTGAACACAGTACTCGAGGTGTGGCCTCACCAGTGCTGAGTACAGGGGATGATCACCTCCCTGCTCCTGCTGGCCACACTATTTCTAATGCAGGCCAGGATGTCATTGGCCCTCTTGGCCACCTGAGCACACTGTCGGCTCATGTTCAGCCGAGCATCAACCAACACCCCCAGGTCCCTTTCCTCTTCACACTCATCCAACCACTCATCCCCAAGCCTGTAACGCTGCATGGGGTTGTTGTGCCCAAAGTGCAGGACCCGACACTTGGCCTTGTTGAACCTCATACT